GATCCCTGAGGAACCCCAGTGACCAGTTGATGTGATTTGGATACCTCTCCTCCACAAGCCACCCTGAAGGACCTACCTGTGAGGTAAGACTCAAACCAGGGGAGTGCAGTTCCGGTGATGCCCAGCGATGAGAGGGTGGACAGAAGGGTTTGATGATTAACAGTGTTGAATGCAGCAGATAGATCTAGCGGAATGAGAACTGAAGATTTGGACTCAGCTCTTGCACTCCGCAGTGATTCAGTGACTGTTTCAGTTGAATGGCCACTTTTAAATCCAGATTGATGTTGATTGTTTATTGTCCAGCTTGTTGTGCTATGAGAGGAAGGAAGGCACTTGGTTGAACACTTTGTTCAAGTGATTTTGCTATGAAAGAGAGGAGAGACACGGGCCTGTAGCTTTCAACAAGTGAGCTGTCTAGTGTGTTTTTTTTACGCAGTGGCGTTACGCGAGCCTGCTTGAATGCAGTGGGAAAAATGCCTGTGAGAAGAGATGTGTTGGTGATGTGTGTGAGTGAAGGCAGAAGTGCAGGGGAAATACATAGCTTGTAGGAGATGTGAGGGGATGGGGTCTAGGGCAGGTGGTAGGGTGGCTGGAGAGGATAATTTTAAAGAATTCTTCTTTTGAAAGAGGAGGAGGAGTGAAGTTGGTCAGCTGGGTGTGTGTTTGCTGTGAGTTCCTGGGTGAGTGGAGCCGAGACCTGACTGCTGATGTTTGTGAGGTAATTAGCAAAATCATCAGCAGTTAAAGGGGTGAGTGAACTGAGGAGAGTATTGAATGCTTTGAAGAGTTTGCGTGTGTCTGATGCGCTGTTGATCTTGTTATGGAAGAAGGTACTTTTGGCAGCGTGAACTTTGGTGGAAAACGAGGATTGCAGTGACTGATACCTGCTGAGATCAGATTAATCTTTTGATTTGCGCCATTTTCTCTCCGCTGCCCTGAGTTTAGTCCAATACTCACAGAGGACATCGAATAACTAAGGGCTGGAGGGAGTAGCATGTGCTGTCTGGAGGAAATAGGTCAGATATTGTCTAGGCAGCTAGTTAGGGTAGAAAATAACATATCCGTGGCACAATTCACATCTAATGATGAGAAATGTGTGGGAATGGGAAGAGAGGACAAAACTACTGTGGTGCAGTTTGCCACTTAAGCACAAATTAACAGGTCGCAATAAGTCTTTTTTTTGGGGTATATACTAATTACTGCTAACTGCAAACAACATGCACAATCAGCATAAAATGTTAAATACAAAAAGCAGTAAACGAATGAATCCTCCCTACAAGCAAATATGTATTCTAAACGAGAGAAACAGAAAACTGGAATTAAGCAAAACTCTTAAGCGCTATTTGTTGTTTTTCTTTATAATGAAGTAGTATGTATTTAGTAGATTCTGTTTAACACATAAAAGAGTGTATAGAAATTCTACATTGGTTGTCTGAACTCTGAACTGTTCTTTACTCCACAGGACTGTTTTAATGGGCTTGGGCGAACCTCTGGGCAATTCATTCTACAATTTACACATTGCCTTCATACCCATTGGAACTGTTATACTGGTTTTCATTTTCGCGGTTGAGTGTGCTTGTAAGAGGACATCGGGCTACGTGCGAATCACGAACTGAAACATTATGGTACAAGCCTCGCCCTCATGCACACACACACCAATCAGTGATGAGGTTACTGACCACTGAGAGGACCATTACAAACACATAACTTTTGATTGGATGACTGAGTTAAAATTTAGAAATAACACAAAAAATTATCTGGATGGGTCGGTCTTTTTAATTTAAATGGGTTACATATTGAATTTTTCTACACCTTCATACTTAAATCTCATAGGTCATACGATAACAGATCAAACCTGCAAGTGCAAACAAATCATTTGTTTGTTTTTTAATAAATTTTTCATACATTATGTTTGTTTGTCCCAAAATTCTGCTTGTAAAATCGATTAAATTGGGCAGAATTATGACAATTGCACACATTTTCTCTTTAATCCTGAAATATATGCAAATGTTTTAATAATTATTAAAAACTGCACTGCTGTAGGTTCTCCGTAGGGATGCCCAAAGCCTAATTATGAATTCGGAAAGACATGGATAATGAATAACACATTCTACGGAGCCCCTAAAGGGACATGGTTAGTCTTGCTGTGGTACAGTAGTCAGTCACATTACAGTACATCAGATTTCACTTATCGCTTGAAGATAGTAAGGAGAGAAGATTTGGTGCGTAACAGGTCCTGAGTGCCACTGACAAATATCTTGTAAAATCAGTACCACCTAAAATCATACCCTAGGTTATATATTGTATTTACAACTCATCAATTAAATATTTACTATTTTATATTATGCATAACTGTAAAGCTTTTGTCATTTATTTAAAAAACATCCATTATGATGAAGCCTTTTGTTCTTCAGGAGGATGGTAAGATTAGATAGATAGATAGATAGATAGATAGATACTGAAATAACCAGAATATCTATTGATGTCCTCATCGCTTTTAATTTTAGGGCTGGGTGTTATGACCATGGTTATGATGATATATAACAATTATATTAGCGATCATCTAGCTAAATTGCATTTATAGTGTTTTCTAGCAGAAAAAAACGTTCACAGGCTTTGCATTATGTACTTATGTATAGGCTATAAATGTCAGGAAACTAGATTCCTGGCCACATGTCAATGTCCATGGACAACTGGTTATTTTGTCATTTGTAAAGACCACTGTCGACTCCACCTGCCTTTAAGTGAAGCAGATAATTGTTTGTTTTACTCCTGTTTTCACAGTTTCCCCTACTAAAGCCATTTACATTGCAGGATGTTTTGCCACTCATTCCCAGTCATTGTATACCCTCTATACACACAGAGTGCACGTAATTGCAAATTGGAAAGTGAAAGGAAAAACAAGCGTGCATTTAAAAATGTTTTCAATAATTCAATAAATCACCATGTCCCTTTAGGGGCTCCGTAGAATGCGTCATTTCTTTTCTGAACATGGTATTCAGATTTGGGCACATCCCTAGTTCTCAGGGATTCTTATATATGTTGAGTTTTGATGTTTTTAACATAACTGTGGTATATGGGGGAGTTTTTTAAACATTCATTTGCACTATGTAGAAACACTCTAAAATCTTTTATAAAAGGCTTATAAATATGGGTTCAAAAACTTGTATTGTTCTCTATATAAATGTACTGAACACTATTCTGTGGACTTGAGTTTTGTGTCCACTGTGGATCTATAATGTTTTATACAACTGTTGCATGTCAGTCAAACATTGAAACTGTTAAAATCAGATATCTTGTGCACCATTTATTCATAAACACATTCAAACATTATATACAGATGGAAACATCAGATTCTAGATATACTTGGCAAGACTGCATTATGACAAACATTAGAAAACATATGAGGAATATGGAACAAAACAATGCAATATCAGCATGACAAAAACAACAGCATCATCATTTATCATGTAATCATCTTATTATTCCATTAATCATTTATAATAATCATTTAAACCATTTATACACTAATTTCATTCATTTTTTCATTGATTAGTCATTTATATTATTTTTCCATTGTTGTTTAATCTTGTGATTGTGTGGACTTGTCTTCACAAGTAAGAGATCAGAGAATGTCTCCATTTCAGAGGTTGTTGTTGTGAAGCAGTAATTTTCCATTGCTATGGCTTGTGTTATAATAACACTTTTTGGATTTGTACTGGTCTGAGCATTGAAACATACGCAACTATGATTATTCAATAAACTCTTCTCTTTTTTATCATCATCACTTCGTCTCCTGCTTCTGCTCTTTATTGGCTTTTCTCAGTCAATTTCTTGGCTGATAGAAGACTGTTGTCACTGAACCGATGTGAATGACCCTCACAAAATGGCGATGAGGACCAGTTAAGGTCACTACCAGATTTGGGGCGGGAACATTAGAAATTTGAAAGATAAAATACTTGCTTATTTAATGACCAGTGTGTTACAACATCGTTTACATTTTTTGCATTGAGGCAATTTGTCCTAGTGGAAAATTAGACTAAATTAAAGTATATTTTTACGTAACGGATCACCCAGTATTATTCCTTTTACTGCAATGAAATGCTCTAACTGAAATAATCAGTGAGATATAAATTATAAGGTGTCATCATTTAAATCATGGTAATTAAACTAAGCTAACACGTCATATTCAATCAAATAAATCACTGGCACATACCTTTTCTTCTGTGCTGTGTCTGAGTGCTGCCAGTAGCAGAGTGTGAAGGGTGCGCACTTCGAAGACCGCATTTGAAGTGTGATTGCATCACAGCGTCACTGTGTAGGCTGTCCCAATGTGAAGGGTGCACACTTCGAAGGCCGATGGCGTCACCGCGGCTCGACGAAGGCTGCCGTAATTCGAAAGCGACTTGAAATGCGCCCTCCGTTTCACAGGAAAATGAAGTGTACGTCTGATGCACCCTTCGCACCCTACCCTATCCCAGAATCAGTTGTGTGCAGATGACGACGGAATTTATATTCAAAGAACATGCGGGTGAGAGTTCTGTGGCGGCCGAGGAATTCACATTTGAATGTAAGTATTGTGTTTTAATTTACTCAAATACAGTACTTAGCGAAACAAAGCCAGTTTTTTTTGTTTTTTTTTGTTTTTTAAAAGCGTGAACTTAAACTAAAAATGTTACCACTGCAAGACTTCATTCGTTAGATGGTCTGAGAAAAAAATCTTATATTTCAATTGTTTTAGGGAGCAATGAGCAGACAGCTCAGTTTATTAAAATGAGGGGTAAAAAAAAAGGACCATTTATTTACCAGGGCCAAAAACTCAGCCAGCGTGGCTTGGAAAAGGCAATGACACGTTTGTAATCTTTACACTAGGCTCTCTTGTGTATTATAACTCTTAGCTGTCACTCTACACAAAGCCCACAAACAATAAGACAACCAGTATATAATGAATATTCTTTCCCTTTGTTGTGTTTTTGTAGTGCTGTCATGCAAGATATGTCTACAAATGTTTTAACCAAACTTATTTTGTGTGCATCTCCTGTTAAGATTGCAGCCCTCTCTTAATATTTTTCATAAGTGTTTCCATTTTCTCTTGTTTTAGGACAATTCTGAAGAAAATGGGCCTGCTGGGGAAGGACCTAAGAAAATACAAAGCAAGTTAATCCACACATTTTTGCTGAAATTCATTGTGCTGTTGTTGTGTTGAATATCAAACTCCAGAGAGAGACAGAGGAGAGAAGAGCACATTAAAGCCCTGTTGCTTTGACCAACATGTCAAAAAAATGGAAAAAATGGAAAAAAAAATCAACAGATTGATAAGCCTTTATTTATGTATAGTAGACGTTATTACTAAGCGAAGCAAAATTTGGTTGAAATATCCACAACATATAAGAGCGCACGCTTTATCTGTCGATCAGATGCACATTAAAGTTGCTCGTTACTATAGCAACAGTAGATCAAACTAATCAAACAATCATTGAAAAAAAAGCTTTCGTTATGTCGAGATCACGAGAAAACAAGAAAGAAAAATAATCATAATTAATGGCCTCTTAGGACTTCCCTACTTTTTACAGTTAAACCAACAATAATTGTTTACTGTGCACTAAAAAAACATCATCATAATCATCATAATAAACAAGTTGAGCATAAACACACTGACTCCTTTCACATAAGGTTTAGTTTTCCAGAGAAACACAAAAACAAGTTTATATTAAAGCTTTATATTTATATCAAAAAGCTTTATAAAAGGTTTATATGAAAAAGCATGAAAACTTACATGGTTCTGAATGAGTGTAAGCCACAGCACGTTTATAGTGAGACTAACTACACATTTAAGTAGAAACCAAACTAAAAGTGTCACACACAGGTGAGTGTTTTGACAGTCTGGAAATATTTGTGAGTATATGATTGGTCATTATAGTCATCAACTGGAAATTCATACAAAGCAGATCGAGCTCTCAGAAGATCAACATAATATTATATGATGTTCAGTGACTGAAGTAATCTTGTGAATTATTTAATCATATTACGAATTTTATTCTGAAGGAAACACCTGTTTCTCTGACAGCTCTATGATCATGTGATTTGATGGGCGGAGAAATCTGATCTCAGATCAGCTGTTAGAGCTGCACGGGTCACGTGACTGATGTGAAATCACAGCACAGCAGAAATGTGATTTCTCCATTCACTTCTGTGCTCAGAGTTTAAAACACATTAATGTTTAAATTTTGTCAGTAGTCCACTATAACAATTCTAACTCTGTTACCTTAGAGGTTATACTCTCTCATGCCATTAGGGGGGCTCCTAATCCTCATAGATTGGTATTTAGCCAGGTACCATACCTGAAGATGCAGGTGTTTGAATAGAGGAAGCAGTGGCTTTCTTGTGCCATCTCAACTTACTTTCTGAGGTCCTATGATTGAGGAATTTGTTTCATTTTGGTCAGTAGCGTTGTTGTTTTTTTTACATGCGCTGTAAGTTATTGGGGATTTGTATTGACTGGTGTATTGAGTAGGCCTATGTTTATGTTGCATTGTGCTTTTCATGCAGCTAATTGTGGCCGTGTCTTTCATTTAGATGGACCTTATTCTTCCAGTGCTTTCTTTCATGTGAGAAAGGTAGACCAAAAGGTTTGTGTGAACTACCAGCTTTGTTGTTTGTTGCTGGACTTGTGAATGCTTCGGACATTTTACCCAAGTATAAAGAGCTGGTGGATTTCTACATGTGGAACACAGGAGGACTTTAGTTATTGCATCAAGTTCAAGTGGTTTATTTCAAAAACGGATTACCACTAACTGAACTTTGCATTCGGAGAGTGCTGACTTTTGCATGGACATCATAGTTTCAACTGTTCCCAAACATTATCATCAGTCTCTACAATTTTCTTTGCTGTTCCAGATTCCCCAAACACCGAACATGTCTTGATTATTGCCTGATTATTTTGATAATTTCATATTTTATTTATATTTTTTTTATACAATGTAAATGCTTGTGATGATTGGGTTGTTGAACAGAAATCAAGTTAAGAATATATGTGCAATTCATTACAAATGTTGGTTCTGTGACTTTATGTACATTGTTGGGTAAACCAAAGGAGATTAATATTAATATTATGGAAAATTTCTACCATAGGACTGTAATAAGGAACTTTATTACACTGATTTAGATTTTTAAATAACGCCTGTTTCCGGAATTTAAGCTTTCAACGTTTCGCTTTTGTTTGATTTGTTTATTGCAGTAACGCGCAATGACTGCCAGGTGTAATTATTATTTTAACAAATGTTTCATTAAAGCTGCAGTCCGTAAGTTTTGCCTCTTTGTCGCCATTTCTGTTTGAAAACCTGCAATTGCAGTTTCTT